GACAGCCAACATGGCTTCATTAAGGGCAAATGGTGCCTGACAAATCTGGTGACTTTCTACGATGAGGTTGTGGCATTGGTGGATAAGGGAAGAGCAACTGACGTCATCTACCTGGACTTGTGCAAAGCATTTGACACTGTCCTGCCTGACATCCTTGTCTCTAAATTGGGGAGATGTGGGTTTGATGGATGGAGCCCTTGGTGGATAAGGAATTGGCTGGCTGGTCGTACTCAAAGAGTTACAGTCAACAGCTTGATGCTCAAGTGGAGACTGGTGATGAGCGGTGTTCCTCAGGGGTTAGTATCGGGACTGGTGCTGTTTAACATCTTTGTCAGCAACATGGACAGTGGGATGGAGTGCACCCTCAGCAGGTTTGCTGATGACACCAAGCTGTGTGGTGCAGTCAGCACACTGGAGGGCAGGGATGTCATCCAGAGGGACCTTGATGGGCCGGGGCGAGCCTCATGAAGTTCAGCAAGGCCAAGTGCAAGGTCCTGCACATGGGTCAGGGCAGTCCCAAGCACAAACGCAGGCTGGGCAGAGGATGGATCGAGGACTTGGGGATGTTGGTTGACAAGAAGCTCAACATGACCTGACAATGTGCACTTGCAGCCCAGAAAGCCAACCATGTCCTGGGCTACATTAAGAGAAGCGTGACCAGCACGTTGAGGTTGATGATTCTCCCCCTCTACTCTGCTTTGGTGAGACCCCACCTGCAGTACTGCTTTCAGCTCTGGGGCCCCCAACACAAGAAGGACATGGACCTGTTGGAGTGAGTCCAGAGGAGGCCACGAAGATGATCAGGGGACTGGAGCACCTCTGTTATGAAAACAGGCTGAGAGAGTTGGGGTTGTTCAGCCTGGAGAAGAGAAAGCTTGGGGGAGACCTTAGAGCAACCTTCCAGTACCTAAAAGGGGCCTACAAGAAAGCTGGGGAGGGACTTTTTACCAGGGCGTGGAGTGATAGGACAAGGGGCAATGACTTTAAACTGGAAGAGGGAAGATTTAGATTAGATATTGGGAGGAAATTCTTCACCATGAGGAGTGGTGAGGCAGTGGCACAGGTTGCCCAGAGAAGCTGTGGATGCCCCCTCCCTGGAAGTGTTCAAGGCCAGGTTGGATGAGGCTTTGAGCAACCTGGTCTGGTGGAAGGTGTCCCTGCCCATGGCAGGGAGTTGGAACGAGATGATCTTTAAGGAAGATCTTTAAAATTGGAACTCAAGGATCCAACCAAACCATTCTATGATTCTATGACTTCATTATATAGAAGAACCAAACATAACAAAACTTCCTTCCCAGAATGGTGCAGGGCTAGAATAGTTCAATGTTCATAAACTCAAGCATGTGAATGAGAAAATTCTTTAGTTCTTCTGTTGGTGTTCATTGATCATAAACACAGATTGGATTACCGTATAATGACTGTATTTCTCTTTTCAGGACATAAGGGACACTTTTGCGTGATAGAATGGATGAACAGTCACAAGGCATGCAGGGGCCTACTGCTCCACCATTTCAGCCACAGGTACTTTTTTTTTTTTTCCAACAGTTATTCAAGAGTGGATGCTATCATTTCTTAAATAGAAAAAGAGAAATTAGAAAACATTATTTCTTGTGGGGACAAAGAAGCTGTAAACATAGATTCTATTCTGGTGATCTGGAAATTGAATATCAGTCCTGTATTTCATAGAAGGTAACTACATTTCATTTTTGTGTCCTGCTGCTTCACTAACTTTGAGGGTTTGGAGTTGGGGTGGGAGAAGGAAGCAAAGATGAAGGCAGTTGTTTTCCTGAGAAATGGTGAGCTATTAAACAGTATGCATTTTGAAATTGTATCAGGAATACCATATTTATTTCAGACTGTTATCTTCAATTTTCTCTTCTTACACCTCCTGATGGTGATACTATACAAATTAGTGCTATTACTTGATGCAACCAGGCAAGAGAAATCCCCAGTAGCTGTAGTTCTGTTAGAAGGAAGATGCGTAAGAAATTTAATCTTTGGATAAGTGTTGATGGTGTGAAACAAAGGCTAGAGATTATCAGATAAAGAGATAATATTGGGATATTGCTTCTTGACATTTTTAGGAGGTAATTCTTTGAGGGGAGTGCAAGAGCCTGTAGAGGAATACTCCAAAAATATTTACTGTGGTGAGCATTCCAAAGTAAAAGCTGGAACCTAAATTTTGTCATTTTCTCGTTAATAGCATAGGTGATAGGGCAATTTGTGCTCTTTATTTTACAAAAATTAAGGTGAATTCTAGCTTGTGGAATTTAGTAAATTTGCAGTAACTAGCTTTCCTTAGCTCCAGTGTTTTTATAGCATTGTGATAATGAAAATTATGGATTTGATAGCATTTATACTAATGTAAAACAGTTAGAAATTTAAGACAAATGTATAGCTATGCATACAGATTTTTTTTAGAAAATAAATTCATAATTTTGAAGTAAAACCAAAATACTTAACTCATATTATGAATATCATAAAGGGTCCCCATTGTTATTACAGTTTTTTTCTTTCCTGATTAAAGAGAAAATAAAACACAGCTGACCAAGGTTTCTGCATTTCTGGGAAACCTGCCTATGTTTTCTGTTTGCTGACAGCAAACAGGTTTCATATTTCCTCATCTATCTTTTGAGTATTTGAATACCTTTTTCTGATTCACAGAATCAACTTTTTTAGGACTGGTTCAATGTTAGGACTATTACTCTGACCTACAAATTCAGTTTATGAATTCATACTAGTAAAATATGTTTCTAGTTTTACTGCTGCAGGTAATATGGCTCATCTACAGGTATCCAATTTCCTCTGTGGTAAACTAAAGACAGACCTAAAAGCAATAGTGCTGTAATCAACTAGACACTTCCTACAAAAGAAACTGTTGTTTTTTTCCTCAGCTTTGGTTAACTGTCAAGCATTTTCATAATCTGTGTCTCTTTATTCTTTTTTTTTACATCAATTAGTGTGTAAACTGCACTAAGCGTGATTTTTGTGATTTGAGTTTTCTTGAGACTAAAGGCTTGGGGTTTGAGAATCTGAGCTGGACCTGTATCAGAATATTGACTGTTTTGCATTTCAAGGGGAGCAAACATGCTCTGATAGTCATATTGCCAGGGTAATATTAAAATAGTAATTCAGTGACATTCTTGTCTTGTTAATCCAAGTTGTTTTTCCTGTGAGCCAGATACATACTTTAATTCTTATGGATTTCTCTATTAATAGAGCATGCTTATGGTGAAAACTAGTGATGAAAAGAGGTTATTGTACTAATTGTGGATACATTTGGGAGAAGCAAGAACTGGAACTGAAAATACAGCAGGTTATGATCAAGAGGTGAGGTAATGATTTATGAAGAGCTATGTCAGGTTTTGATAATCCTGTGAATCTCTTCTAATTCTCTTGGTCCTTATATTGTATGAATATATGCTCATATTCATAGAAAATTAAATTACCTTAATCACTGAAAATTACTGATGAGGAGCATGAGAATATTTAGCCAAACACTATAATGGCTTAGTCCTAATTAGTTTGAAAACACCATTTCACAAAATTGCAGAATGATTGGGGTTGGAAGGAGACTTAGGAGGTCATCAGCCCTCCTGCTCGAGCAGGTTTCCCAGGACCGTGTTAGAAGGCTTTTGAATATCCCCAGGCGTGGAGACTCCACAACCTCCTTGGGCAACCTGTGCCAGTGCTCAGTCACCCTCACAGTGAGAACGTGTTTCCTGATGTTCAGATGGAACCTCCTGTGTTTCAGTCTGTGCCCATTGCCTCTTGTCCTGTTACTGGACACCACTGAAGAGAGCTTGGCTCTGCCTTTTAACACCCTCCTTTCAGGTATTTGTACAGATTGATGAGACTACCTCCCCCTAACCCCACCCTTCTTTTCTCTAGCCTGGATGTTCACTCTCAGCCTTTCCTCATATGAGAGGTGCTACAGTGGGCTGATCTCCAGTATTTCTATGTATGGGGTGGCCCAGAACTGGACGTAGTACTCCAGGTGTGCTCCTGCCAGTGCTGAGCAGAGAGGAAGGGTCACCTCCCTCCACCTACTGATAACACTCCTCCTAATGCAGCCCAGGACACCGTTTGCTGCCTTTGCTGCCAGGGCACGTTTGCTGGCCCATGTTCAACTTGATGTCCACCAGGACCCCCAGGGTCTGGCCTGTAAAGCTGTTTGCTAGCAGGTCTGCGCCCAGCATGTACTGGTGCATGGGGCTGTTGCTGCCCAGGTGCAGGGCTTTGCGCTTCCTTGTGTTGAACTGCATGAGGTTCCCATCATCCCATTTCTCCAGCTTGTTGAGGTCCCCCTGGATGGCAGCATGACCCTCTGGTGCATTAGCCATTCCTCTCAGTTTTGTGTCATCAGCAAACTTGCTGAGGGTGCACTTTGCCCTATAATCCAGATCCTTAATGTAGATGTTGAGCAGGATTGGACCCAGTATTGACACCTGAGGTGCACTGCTGTTTACTGACCTCCAACTAGACTTTGTGCCATTGGAAGCTCATTCTCTGGAATTAAGTGCCTGAAAGCTCTGTCATAGTCTGTTATCTACAAAGTTAAAACACTGTACTTCATTACATCACAAGGACATTTGAAAGTGCAGATATCTAAGTACTACTGAACCCCTTGCATACTGTGAAAAGGATTATACAAGAAGGTAGGAAAACATGGATTAGTAGTCTGATACAGTAGACTTTAAATTCTAGGACTTCCTCAAGAGCAAAATGGGAGCTTTTTAGCATCTGAAGAGAGAAAAACACGACTCTGTTACTAGACCTGATAAACCATAAACCAAAGGTGGCATATATCCCCTACTGTTTGGCATTTTTGTTTGTTTTCCTAAGCTGAAGAGCAATAGTTGTATCGAGTCTCTTATACAGAAGACATTGCATATCTCTGCTCAGCATTGCTGTTCTGCTCTTTGTTTTCTGGTTTGCCTGTGTTCCCCTCAAAACAAGGGGTCAGAGCTCTCTGCAGTATTCAGTGTACGCACAATAGACTTAACAGACTTTGTTTTCCGTTTCATTCAAATACTTTTCCTAAAAATGTCTAGCTTTCTTTTTGATGGTGACTAACCAATCAGTTTAACTTTCCAGGGAGGTTTTTCCATGGTATTTTGTAGATCTTTTTCCAGTGTGGTAATAGCTAATTCAAAAAATCATGATTCTATGTCTTTGAGGATTGTAATTCCCGTTAAGTTTCTGATTGCTTGCCTTGGGATTCTAGTACTGAGTGCCATGGTTGTCTTGGATAAGTTTGAATTGTAAAGAAACTTTATTGCTGCATTATATGTATTGAATAGTGCACTTTGGGATTTCACTGGTAACTTCTCTGAGAAAATTTTTCTTCTGTTTCTCATCTTATAGCTGGCTATTAATCTGCTGAATGTTCTCTCTCAACTTGAGAGAGTGTAGTTTTATAGGTTAGGAATCCTCACAGAAGGAACATGGTTAAACGGTTAAAAATGCGTGGTGTGATTTCTTCAGCGGAAAAGCCCAATTAGGAAAAACCTGTCTCGTTCCACTC